GTTGGCAGTTAATTTGCATATCCTGCTGATTAGCCAATGGGAAGCGTAGTGGAGGTATGGTTAATTACCATGTTTGTCTATTATTAGATAGGACTAGAGGCCCAGTGCATGGATTTGTGCACCAATGGGGTCCCTTGGCCTGGCCTGTGCCCTCTCGCAATCCGGGACCCCTTGGGGGATGTCGGACTGCTGTTGTTACCATAAAATCCTAAGGAGGCAGGCAATCGAGGCTGTTTTGGTTCCTAAAGCCTGCCCCTGTGGATTGTAAGGGATTCCCATGGAGTGCTGGATGGACCAAGTCCTGCAAAAGTGGCAAAGGCATGGCTGCTATAAGTAGGCCTATTGTTAGTTTTTATCTTGGTTAATATAGCTATAATTGAAAATAGGTCTTATTGAATTTATGTAAAGAAATGTATTGCTATTTATTAAGAACTAGAGGCACTATGCACAAAATTCGTGCAAGAGTAGGCCTTCGCAGCCCCAGCTGCCTCGGCCCTTGCAGCCCCGGCTTTGTCTGGAAGGTCGTCGGGAAGGACATTTGAATGGTCATTCCGCTATTCGGCCATTCGGTCGATTTGCATATTATGCTTTTATTATTATAGATTGCTAAATTTTGGAGGGACAGGTAGGGAGAGAAATATATAATTTACCAAATTGTTTTAAAAATGCTTCCTTGCCCTAACCAGTTTGGCTCAGTGGATAGAGCGTCAGCCTGCAAACTGAAGGGTCCAGGTTTGATTCCAGTCAAGGGCATGTACCTTGGTTGTGGGCACATCCCCAGTAGGGGGGTGTGCAGGAGGCAGCTGATCGATGTTTCTCTCCCATCAATGTTTCTAACTCTATCCCTCTCCCTTCCTCTCTGTAAGAAATCAATAAAATATATTTTTAAAAAATTTTTTAAATGCTTCCTTATATCTGAAAAACAGTTTAAGAATTAGAATACTTTCAACAAAAGTTACAAAAACTAAGTAATTATTTTCTATTTATTCAGCTCTATAATAAAATTGTTGTTTCTTCTGATTTTTCCTGCTAGTATTTCTATAAATTCAGATACTTTATAGAGTAATGTAAATGATATAAAATTTTTTCCTTTCTGTAAAACACAATATTTCACAATATTATAACTTAT